GCAAATACCATAGGCACACTTCTTACCAGATTCAGGAGCTCGAATCGTAAGGAATTTATCTGTTTTCAAAAAAGATCCAACTTTTCGATTCTTCAGATGTTTTCCGGTTATATTGTTTGCTGTTTCTGAGTGTAGTTTCTTCAAAGAGTGTCCTCATCCTAATGAGAAACAAAGACTTGAACTTGGTAAAAAACTTGCTTTGGAGAGTAAGCAAATCAAGTTTTGGTTTCAGAACAGAAGAACACAAATGAAGGTACTTTCTAACTTGAAAAGTTGTGATTTTGATTGGAAAAAGCTCTGTTTTTTTTAATGGAAAACTTGTGGTTTTTACTGTCCCAGACGCAACTAGAGCGGCATGAGAATGTAATTCTCAGACAAGAGAATGAAAAACTGAGAGTCGAAAACAGTTTCCTTAAAGAGACAATGAGAAATCCTATGTGCAATGATTGTGGTGGAGTAGTTATACCTGGTGATGTTTCATTTGAGCAGCAGCAACTAGAGATCGAGAACGCCAGGCTTAAGGAAGAGCTCGATAGGATTTGTGGTTTAGCAAACAGATTCATTGGCGGGTCAATATCACTCGAGCAGCCTTCAAATGGTGGGATTGGCTCACACCATTTACCAGTAGGACTTGGTTATAATGGTGGTACTTCTCTGATGTTTATGGATCTTGCCATGGAGGCTATGGATGAGTTGATTAAGTTAGCGGAAATGGACACTCCTTTATGGATAAAATGCTCAAAGAGTACGAAAGAATCGATGAACCACGACGAGTATAGAAGCATTTTCACGGCTAGTAAACATTCCGCGGGTTATGTAGCTGAGGGTTCAAGAGAAACTGGTTTAGTTCTCATCAATAGCTTGGCTCTAGTCGAGACTCTTATGGACGCGGTATGAGAAACTTGATATATACATGTATACTCTCAAATAACCGGAATTTTATCTTATCTAATATACATTTGGGTTTTTTACAGAACCGGTGGGAAGAAATGTTTGAGTGTATTGTCTCTGTTGCATCAACCATTCAAGTGATATCCAACGGTAGTGATGGATCTAGAAGCGGCTCTCTTCAATTGGTATTGTTTCTCAAGAACCTTGAAAGTTTTAATATTTTGAACACATTGGTGATTTAGTGATTTCTTTGTTGGGGCAGATGGAAGCAGAGTTTCAAGTGATGTCTCCATTAGTTCCAATCATACAAGTGAAGTTTCTTAGATATTGCAAGCAACATGGAGATGGTTTATGGGCGGTGGTTGATGTTTCTTATGACAAAAACAGAGAAAATGACAACTTCAAGTCTTATGGTGGCTTTAAGAGGCTTCCCTCAGGCTGCATCATACAAGACATAGGCAATGGTTGCTCCAAGGTTGGTGTAACTCCTCAATTCCTCTTTCTTCTTTTAGGACATTATTCTAATGTTTGAGAATTAGCTGTCTTGGATCTGCGTGAGATTTTATTGAATTTTTTTATACACAAGAACATGGTTAATCTTGTAAACTAATAACAACTGAGTCGACAATTAGCCAGAGAACCTGAAGCCTTTCTGTATATCTTATCATAAAACTCTAAAAGATTCCTCTTTTTATTGTTAACAAATATTGGAAATATTAACTCAAATCAAAGGCTTCATTTTTCAAGGCAATGCTTGCTTCTTGCCTAGGCTAGTTCTAGGC